TCCCTGGAACTGCTTTGTAGGGCATATTTATGCAGTAGTGCTAAAAAGCTGAAAACATTACCTTTGGCAACGTCCTGCATAACCCGAGATACTGTAACAACTGCTAGCTTCAACAGGGAGAATTTCCAACAGCTTTTTATTTTGACAAGTACTAGTAAGAGATCTTTCAAAAATGCTCCACTCAGGAATCACTTCAGCCAAAGTGGATTACTAAAGCAATTCTCTTAATCAGCAAGTTTAGTGCATAGTGGAGCTCTGGGAAAAACAGCTTATATAACTGTAAACAAGAAGTTCTTTTCAGTTATGCAGAGACCCCTGCCTCGATTCCAGCTGATAAGCTGTCGAAGCACAAGATTACTGCCATATAAATAACACATCTATTTCTGTTCCGAAGTCAGTTTCCCGTACCGAAACAATTTCACTAATAAAGCATGCTGCGTGCTGGAGCTGATATCCTCATTTACTCAGTAACGTACCTTTATCGCCACATAAAGGTGTACAAATAACTGATGTTTCCCGACCTTTAAAAGCACTCGTTGGAGATTTTAACAAACAGAAGTGACTTTACTAAACTAAACATAATATGAAAGAGAAAAGATCTAAAATGGAGGAAAAACAAAACAAGTCTTCCAACTCGACCATCTCCGCAAACCCCTATTTCTCTCCCTGCTACTACCTGGTCCAGAGTGACACTGTGTTCAAAACGCTATAGCTGTAATACAGTCATCGGCTCACAGTAAAAAGTTTCCTGTCTTTAGTAACCAACCCCAAAGCATTCAGTGACTTTGATTTAGGCAGCATGAAATGAAATTGAAATAGTTGATCACAGAATTTGGACCGGTTATTCCTGATATTAAGAAAAAAATATATATTCTTATATATTTCTCTATGTAAGGTCTTTTGAAATTCACATCTGAAAATACAAAAAAAGAAAAAAGATTTAAACAATTTTATCAGTGGTTGATTTATTTCTGCTTTCTGATCTCTCTGGTCGCAGTTCAGTGCAACCCATAAATAAGTTAGGCTGGTGAAGGAGATTGAATTTTTGAGATTGCAAGAGTAATGGAGGAGCTGAACTGCCTGGAGCTTGAAATATCGCCTCTCGGGACACAAGCCGCTGGACCTATTGCCAGCTGTCTATATGGCTTTTCCAGCCATTGACACATGCGACCACGTCAACATATTTAACTAACTTATGTTTCTTTGTGTTGCAAACGGACAGATCTTGTACATGCTCCAGGCTCCACCACCCTATTACTATAAAATTAAGAACGTCTAAGTCAGTCAGGTACATAAATTATGATATATACCAACATTTGGCAGCAAAAGAGCAGTTACCAATCAACACCAAGTTTCTCTCAGGAACTGTTTTCCAGTATTCATATCCAGTCAAATCTATCCCCTGTTACTGAGGAGTTTAAGAAAAAAAAAAAAAAGTGGAAAAACTTGTAGCTTAAAAGCGTGGTTACAGGACAGTTCCTTATAAAACATACTTATAAAAACACTCCAGCAACCCCCGACCAAGGGCAGGCCCTGGGCACCCCTTACCTCAGAAACGCCCCTCGCGCCGCCCGCTTCAGGCCCTCCGGCCCTCCGCAGTTCCGCTCCGCTGCCCTGATCGCTCTTCCTACGACTTTGGTCACACACACACTTAAAATACAGCTTAATACGCAGCAACGACTATTTCTGTCCCTCCTCCCCGCAGTGTTTTAGCATCCCACCAAGCCTGAAGGAGGTGTCGCGGGGTTTCAGGCCAAAGGCCTCAAGTGACAAAATGGCTCCCCGGGTAGCGCCCGTGGGGAGTTTGAGACGATTATTATGACGATCACGTACCCAGAAAGAGTGCAAATTGTTCAAAAAATCTTCTAAAGCATCTGGGGGAACCCAGCGAAGTGCCGGGAGTGACTCGCACGGAGCAGGGAAGACAGTTGAGGAAACCCGGCCGAGCTCAGCAGGAGCCCGGACCTGTGGGGCGCCAG